TTCTGTCGTATCAACCACAGTTGTATCAACTCTTTCATTTCTGGTTTTATTTGAGACCTCTCCTTTTCTATACTATAAAAGGCTTTTTCCTTTTATTTCACTTGATAGTCATTTTTAATATATAATTTACATACTATAAAATTCAGCAATTTAGAGTGTACATTTCAGTGTTTTTTTAAAGTAATCCTCTATGTTGTACAACCATTGCCCATCTAATCCCCAGAAGTTTCCATCATCCTCCCAAAAAACCCTATGCCAATTACCATGAACAGCCAATTATTTTATAAAAAGGAGTTTGGGCTAAAACATACCATGAGCCCCAGTTTTAGACTACTGGGTAGCACACTAAGTGGGAAGTATCACCAGAGAAAGTTCCTGAATTGCTGGAGTGTGGCTCCACCTGCTCCCAAAAGAACCTGTGGTTTCTGCTGGTGGCAAGAGAAAGTGATGCACCTTTTAGTGTAAGTCTTATAAGAGGCTCAAGTTCTGGGAGCAGTTGGACAATTTGGTGTGAAATGTGTGAAGAAATTTAATTCATTATCTACATTTTTTTACTTGAGTTTAAGTGGAGAGGCTCGATGATGGGGTGGAAATGTTTAACATTTATTCTTAAAATCAACCACAGCATCTGAAAGACATATGATCAGGAGACCCGACTTCAGATGAAAAGAACATGTCCCACTGTTACAACCAAGCATCTCACTTAATCCCACTTGTGATCACTCACCTTGTGGAATGAGGGAAAGTAACAGTAAACTGTCATGCTCAAGTATGAAGAATTTAACATGGATTTTTTTAAATCTCCTTGGGGGAAAACAACTAGTAAACCATGCTGAGTTCTGAGTCAGGTGGAATTAGAGAAGGGGGTGAGCATAGCACAGAGGTACAGAGTACAGACTCTGGAGCCAGACTGCCCAACCCTGACTCACCATGTCTTGCTGCCAACCTTGGGCAAGTGACTTAACCTCTCTGTGCCTCAGTTCCCTCATCTTTAGAATGGGGATAATAATAGTACCTACTGCAAAGGGCTATTATGAAGGCTAATGGATCATTACAGGAGAAGCCCTTGCCTGCATTACTACCAACTCACGAGTCAGCTACTACTGAGCCGGTTTGGGTTTAAAATGTCAGCAAGCTCCAGCCAGAAAGGAGGTTTAAAATGTCAGTAAGCTCCAGCCAGAAAGAAGGTTCTGATAAACTAAATGGCACCTAAGTCTGACTCCTTAGGTATGATAAAGAAGTTGACCTCTTAGCAATTAGGCTTCCCTCCTTTGACTGGGTCTCGAGAGGAATCAACTAAGGAGAAAAACTTCCACTTCGGCTGCCCAAGGCTGATGCTGCTCTGGGGGGCAGGAGCAGAGGGAAGAACTCTGTGAGAGTTCTGGGTCTTGAGCCCCCACTGGGACCACCATGAGGGCAAAACATCCATCCTCAGTTGATGTCCTGAGACTAGCCCCCGCACTCCCCCACCACAGGCACCAGGCAGAAGAATCATCAGCACCCGTCTGCCCCCAGCCTCAACTAGCCAAGGATGCAAGGTCCATCTACTAGGGATGGGAGGGATCATGGATGGCGGGAGAGGAGGTGGCTGGGGCTATTTTCATCTCTTCACAAGATACCATTGTCTGCCTTCCCCACTGACTTAGTTCTGGGGCGGGGGCAGGGGGTTGGAGGTGACAACATGGCTGGGAGATAAGCCTGTACCCCAGTCTGATCCCAACCCCACAGGCTCTAGGGCTACCAGCCAACACAATTCACCTGAAGTTCCTCAAACATACTCCGCATTTTGCTGGCTTCATGTCTTTGTTCAGTGTCCCACTTCCTCCACTGACCAACCGTACGTGGCCCGGCCTGGCCGCTGGGTGGGAAGGGTGTTCTGCCAGCCGCCAGCACAGCGGTGACAACATGCCCCTCCCTGCGGTGCGTGTCACAATGTGCCCTTCTTGTGGGAGCCAGGAATTCTACCTCCTGGAATCTATCCTATGGACATAATCACACGAAGATGTAGGTACGAGATGACTTCAGCTCTTAGCAATCATGCTTTTGAAGAATATTTGGTGACAGAAAAAAGGCTAAAACTCCATTAAGGAGAAAAAGGATACTAAACCACATGAGATTCAAGTTTTGTTAAAATATATGTATTGTATTTAATATGCATCAAAGAAAAACTAGAAACAAACACCTCAAAATGTTAACAGGGTTTCTATCACTAGGTAGTAAGTTGGTAGCCGGGGTTTTGTTGCTTTTTTCCCTTTGTTTGGTCAGGGCATCCACTATCCACTATCACGGCACCCCTTCCTCTGATATCAGCACCTCGATTTTTCTCTGCAAAGACCCCTGTCCTTAATGGGACATCAGTCAGGATGCCTATGCTCCCCTGGCCAAGTGCCAGGACTGTGACCTGAGCTCAGCTGGGAAGCCTCTCTCCTGGGAACGGGAATCCTGGGCAGAGACACCCACAGAGGGAGAATGAACGGGGCTTTGGTCTTCTGCAAGCACGTATGCTTGGGGAGACCGCCCGCCAGCTTTGGCTCCCAGCCTGCTTGTCAAGGGGCTGCTCCTTCAGATTCTCCTGTGATTCTCTGAGCAAACCAATAGTGTCCTAATAAACTTTACTTTCGTTCAAGTTAGCCGGACACCATTCACGTTGCTGCAACCTGAGAGTCCCAAGTGATATCCTCTGCCGACGTGTTCACTGGACTCCAAACCCTCAGCAGGGAGCATGCGCTGCTCGTGGGAGCAGCTCGGGGCACGGGCTCTGGGACGCACGGCTCTGGACCGAGCCCCGCTGCCTGTATGATCACGAGACCCAGGAGACAAGCCGCCTTGCCCCTCTCAGCCTCCTTCTTCATCTGTCAGACCAGAGGAGTCCTCTGTTTCACAGGGAGTTGCTGTACTGATTATAAAAGTATAGAGCTTGGCACATTGGGGGCATCGGATAAATGGCAAACATTATTACGAAGATATGTTTGATAAGCTTCTGTTGAACAAATGAATCTATTCATCCGACAACAAATCCTGGGTGTTTACAGCGTGCCGGGCACGGGGACCCACAGTCAACAAGACAGACACGGTTGCTGCCCTCATGGGGCTTGCAGTCCACTGGGGAGACAGACAGGTAACAGGACATAGACAAAGACGCGAACCCATTTCAAGTGTTTCTACAGGAAACAAGGGCTGAGGGATTGAACAGCAAGGCAGAGAAAGAATAAGCTTTAAGATACAGTCAGGAAATGGGGGGGCAGCTAAGTGAGACCTAAGGGATGAGGAGGAACGAGGCACACAGGGAGTCCCTGCATGTTTAGGGGCATGAAGCGTGTCCAAGAAATAGGAACATGGGAGCATCGTGAATGCAGAATCAGGAACTTATGATGATAGAGAGGTGGCTGGGAGGGGCTTGGCAGGTTTTGACGAGGAGTTCGTGTGTGTGTGTATGTATATATTTTAAAATTCTATTTTAAGTGCAGTGGGAAACTGTTAAAAGGTTTTCTAGTAGGGGGCTGACATGATCTACTTTATGAAAGACTTCCACTGGCTCTGGGTGGAAATGAACAGGCAGTGTAGAAGGCTCTGGGAGTGGTTCTAGGAAGAAATGCTAAGGTGGTGCGATGGAGAGAAAGTAGGAGGACGCCAGGTACCCTGAACAGGACACACAACTTGCTGATGCACTCGGTGTGAGGGATAAAAAGGGTGTCACCAGGATGGTTCCCTGGCTTTCAGCCTCAGAGGCTGGTGGACGATGCCAGTCTACCGAGAGGGGAGGGACAGACATGGGACGGGGATGTCAGGAGCCCAGGGACAGACACATCAGGTTTGAGTTGTCCGGAGCTCAGTGCAGTCCCGGGCTGAAGCTGCGCAGGTGCGATGGTGGGCAGAAAGATGGAACCTGGATCCACAGGAATGCATGGATGACAGCCATCGCATCCCTCTTCCTCCAAGAAGCCCTGGACGATCGCCCTGATGGCCCGCTACAACCACAGCTGAAACAGGTGCTCCAGCTTGATAGTTACTCACACTTAAGGGTGCACCTGCAGGACTTATTAAAACACACTGGGCAGCTCAGAAGGTCCCAGGAGGGGCTGGAGAACGTCCACTTCTATCAAGTTGTTAACTTCCCTGAGTTTAGCTAAACTCCCGTAAAAAGTCACGGGGATAACCAGGGAATGGGGCGCGGGAGCACGTGATGACTCGGTGGCTGCCAAGCACCTCCCGTAACACCGCTGTTAACTACTCAGTAAGGGTGAGTCCCCATTCCATTTAACACACGCCAAAGGCATTTAATGTTGGCGGACTGTGTGCATTTTGTTTCTAACACGGAGATGGAGAGGGAGAGATCACGTGAACACACTTGAGAGAACTCTTGCCTAAAGGTCTGTGCCAAGCAAGCACCCCGCCCCACCCCGGGAGCAGGGGGGTACTGGGGCCCCCAATCCCACCTTCCTGGACTGGGGAGGCTGCTCCCACTTCCCCTGAACCCACCTCCTGTGCAAATGCCCACCACCTCCTGGGCAACACACCTTTCCCATGGGTTTAGCCACCACAGGTTCCCAATTTCCAGAAAAACCTCAGTTTTAAGTAATTCTATTTTCAGTGAAGATGAGGACACGAGTGTGTGGCGAAGCGCAATGTAACCGTTTCACTTTTGTAAGACTTTTGCATAAATACATTCACACACCCTAATGTTTGGGTTTGGGTGGCCTCCAGCGCCTCACCCTTCACAAATGATGTCTCACTACCATGGGGGTGGTCACCTTCCAGAGAACCTGGCCTTCTCACCAGGCTCCCTGCAGAGAATGTGCTGGAATGTCAGACTGGTGCTAGCAAAGGTCTTTGGGAGGGAGGGACGGGAGAAGGGGCAGCAACGAGGCCACCCCAGCTGCCTAAGGCCTCGCTGTGAGGGTCTGCACCCCTCCCCCGGGGTGTGCTGAGCTCTAGCACCCCTTACCTGTGACACGTGGGGTCAAGATGAGAGGAGGCTGCAAGCAGGCTGCACATCTTACCTTCTCGTAGGGACAGTACTTGTACATCTTTGTGGGGCTCGTGCAGATGAAGACATCAGTGCTATGAGAAAGAGGAAGGCCAGTCAGCCTGAGCCCCCACGTCCGCGCGGCCTTCATCACTCTTGCCCCCCTGCTCTGCGGGTGTCAGGCCCTCCCAGGTCTGCCCCCATCACCTGGGAACGGGAAAACCCACCGCCCCGCACTGCTCTCCCAGCCAGACACATCCCGTCCCCCAGCCCTGAGCAGCCACGTGTGACCTCTCCTCTGGCCCAGTGACCCGCTCAGGGATGGGTGTCCATGGATGGCAATTCTGCATGGCCAGAGCCCAGAGCTTGGCTGGGCGAAGCACCTGCCCTCTCTGGAATCTGAACAGGGAAATACTGAGAGAAAGAAGCATTAGCAATGAGAGAGGCATTAAAGGGGTACAGGGCAAGTCACTTGAGGAGAATCAGGGCCTCACACAATGCAAAGCAAAGAACCCCATGAGGGAGAGTCTTCTGGTAAAGTGTGTCCGCCAAGCCCTCTGGCAGAAGGGGGAGGGGGAGGAGCCCCCTCCTCTCAGCCAGGCTAAGCTCCCTCAAAACGGACAAGGGCTCTGCTGAGGATCGCCCACTCCCACAGTCTGGTTCTTCTGCGCTGGTGAGAGCGGGGGAGCTGACCTCAAGGGCCTTGTCCCCACAGCCCAGGGGCCCCAGACCCTCCCCAACAGAGCCATCTGGTCCCGAACATCCGCAGAAAGCCACCATCTACCGCTCTGCGGACTGAGCCTATGGAAGACTAGATTTTCCGGGCTCCTTTGCTCTTTGGCAAATTAGTCCCGAGAGTCCTGCCAACGTCAGACTGCCAGGTCCCTCGGAAGAGAGCTCGGGCCTTCTCGTTACCTCTCGGCACTGCCTCTCCAACCTCACTGTCCCCTCCCACGGGCAGGGCCTTCCCTAGGTCCTCAGCCTCTCCTCCATGTTCTCTCGCCTCCTGCCCGCACTGAAAGCTGGCCTCAGGCGGGGAAGCCGCCTCCCCTGTGTGTTTACCCCACCTGCTTCAGAGACACAGGCGAGGAGGGTCTTCCTCGCCCTCCCTTGTCACTTCCAGACCATTCCTCCTGTTAGAGTGGGTGGTTAGTTAGGTCCTTTTCATCTTAAATTCATAACCCCAACCCCAAGGCAGTGGTGCAGTTACGAGGCAGCCTGTCCCCAGGGCCCTGGCGGGTACTAGTCTCCAGGACAGCCGCCACACACCAGCCCTGTGTCCTCCAACTTCTTGGCTCTGAGACTCCCTGGCTTCTCGTCATGGAATCTAGAACCACGCCTGTGTCTGAACTTCTTCTCCCTTTCAGTTCCACGGGAGGAATGGGCATCCCTCCTTACTCTCAAGGTGAGCCCTTCATTTGTGCGCAGGATTCCATCCCCTGATCTTCACAAGGAGGAAATGGGCTGCCACATTCCCTTTTCCGGGACTGAGCTTCCCGACAACTCAAACTTGTGCTCTCTCTCATCTTAAAACATACATATACACACACACGACCTTGACCTCACACCCGCTCCTGTGCTGTCCCTTCTCTCTGCTCCCAAGACATCCCAAGCGGCCTGTCCCTGTTGACCCCACAGCCTCACCTCCTGTGTGTGCTTCGATCCACCCCGATCTGGAGTCCGTGCCCTCCACTACCCAGAAAGTGCCTGTTGTCACCAAGGACCCTCATGTCACCATAGCTAATGCACACGCCCCCTCTTTCTTTGGCTCACCAGCACCCAGATAGCCCTGCCCTACTCTGTGAGAGCTCCTGGTCCTGGCACACCTGCCCGTCGTCGGCCACCCCAGGCATAATCTCCCAGTCGCCCTGGTGATTCTGACCCTCAGGGGCTCTTCGTCTACACTCCCTGCTCAGTGATGTCATCAAGGGCTTTATGCACCATCTTCATGCTGGTGCCCCCAACTTTACCTTCACCATCCAGCTCCGTCCCCCGAGTGCCAGGCTCACATCCTTAACAGCCTACTGAATATCTCTGCGTGGACATCTCACCAACACTCGTTTTTTTTCCAAAATAGCACACATGCTTCTCCCCACTCGCCAAACCTGTTCCTTCCCCAGTTGATGACACTATTATATAGATCTAGCTGCTCAAGCAAAAAACCTAAAGATCACCCCTTTTCCTACCCTTTCCCCTTCCCCAAGATCCATCCCCCATGGGTTCTTCCTCCAAGGTGTGTTTCATTCCATCAACTTTCTTCCGTGGTCGCCACCCCAATTTCAAGCATTGCCACCTCTCATGGTTCTTCAACTTCCAATTCTGCCCCCCACCGAGGCTTTCTCCACCCAGCAACCAGACTGATTTTTCTTTTTGAGATTTTATTTTTATTTATTTGAAGGACAGAGAGACCACGCGAGTGGGGAGAGGGGCAGAGGGAAAGGCAGAGGGAGGGAGAATCTGAAGCCGACTCAGCGCTGAGCACAGAGTCCGATGCAGGGCTCGATCTCACAACCCTGACACCATGACCTGAGCCGAAACCAAGAATCAGATGCTCAACCGACTGCACCACCCAGGTGCCCCGGACTGATTATTTTTAAACAGCTTCATTGAGGTATGACTGACACGCAATAAACTACACAGGTATATGATAAGTTACATGTGAAACACAGATCTCCACAATCAAGATAATAAATAACCCCCTAAAGTTTCCTGGCACCCTCCTGTCATCTCTCCACCTGCCCCTCCTTGTCCCTACCCCACCCCTGGGCCCCAGGCAACCACTGATCTGCCTTCTGTCACCACAGATCAGACTGTATTTTCTAGAATTTTATATAAATAGAAACACAGAATATGTACTCTTTTTTGTCTGGCTTCTTCCATCCAGTAAAGTTATTTCTGGGACTCAGTCATGTTATTAAATGTATCCATAGTTGGTTGTTTTTGTTTTGTTTTGTTTTTGAGCGGGCTGATTTTTTAAAAAACAACTTCATGGAGATATAATTCCTAAACCATCACAGCTGCCCATTTTCAGTTTGTAATCCAATGAATGTTGCTACATTTACAGACTTTGACAACAATCACCAGAACATTTTCATGCCCCCAAAAGGAACCTTGTGTCCATTAGCAATTACTCTGCATTCTGCCCTTGGCCTTAGGAAACCACCAACCTACTCCCTATCTCTGTGGATTTGCCTGTTCTGGATATTTCACGTAGATGGAATCCTATAATACACGGTCTTTTGTTACTGGCCTCCTTCATTTAGGAAAACGTTTCCAAGGGTCACCTGCATTGTAGAATGTACCCGGGCTTCACACCTTTGAATTGCTGAGTATTATTCCATTGGATGCAGATGGATGGACCTCATTTGTTCATGCATGTATCAGCTGACGGACATGTGGGCTGTTTTCACCTTTTGGCTGTTATGAACAACGCTGCTAGGAACATTCATGCACAAGTTTTTGTGTGGATGTGTGTTTTCATGTCTCTCAAGTATACTCCCAGGAGTGCTACTGCTGGGTCATATGGTAACTCCATATTTACTATTTGGAGGAAATGTTTTCCCAAGTGCTTTCCACAGCAGCCGCATCATTTTCCAGTCCCACCAGCAGTGATAAGGGGTCCAAATGCTCTCCATCCTCAGTAACATGATTGTCTTTTTTTTTTATTATTATTATAGTCATTCTAGTGGGTGTGAAGTGGTATCTCATTGTGGTTTTGATTTGCATTTCATTATGGACTACTGACGTTGGGGCAAAATTTCATGCATTCATTGGCCATTTGCATATCTTTTTTGGAGAAATCCCTGTCCAAACTTATCACTCCAAGCCCATGTTTTTAAAACTTAAGTTAAATCACATCATTCAGTCTTCAATCATCCAGTGGACCATCCCTCCTGTCCCCGCCACGTTCACTGAATTCTAGCCATACTGGTCTCCTTCAAAATGTCACTCAAATAAGCAAATCCTTGCCCATATCAGGACCTCTGTCCTCTGACTTCTTACTAACTAGTTCATTCTTTTTTTTTTTTTTAAAGATTTTTTATTTATTTATTTGAGAGACAGAATGAGATAGAGAGAGAGCATGAGAGGGGGGAGGGTCAGAAGGAGAAGCAGACTCCCTGTTGAGCAGGGAGCCCGATGCGGGACCCGATCCTGGGACTCCAGGATCATGACCTGAGCCGAAGGCAGTCGCTTAACCAACTGAGCCACCCAGGTGCCCTAACTAGTTCATTCTTAACATTAAGCTCTGAAGTCACATGTCATCTCCTCCCTATCTGAAGTAGCCCTTTCCCCATTTAGTCTCAAACACATCGGCTATTTCCTTCACCAAGCTTACTGCAAGCTAAAATTAGTTTTCTTTCTACTTGTCATTCTCCCCACCATAACGAAAACCCCTCAAGACCCCAGACCTTAGGCTAGGTGTCTGTCTTATTTACAAATATATCCCCAGTGCTAACACAGTGCCAGGCACATATTAAGTGACACAAAATATATCTGTCTAGTGGGTGAATGAATACATCGCCTCCTATGCCAGGCTCCTCAACTGTAGGTAGGTTGACAACACTGACTCCATCTTGTTCACGTCCATGCAATGACCTCCCTTGGGGGTACGTTGTTCCAGGCCCCTGGGGATTAATGTATGCGGGAGGGCTTGTTCTGATCTCCCCTAAAGTTGCTTAGGTAACTAGTAGAGATAACATAGTTTCTTTCCCCCTCTTTCGGCACACAGGGGGCACCATGAGGTCTGTTAAGTGTTAGACCCTTTGACCTCACCATAGTGCCCTCTGTACATCCCCTTGACCTATAAAATCTATGGCTTAAGATTGGAACTTTGCACAGAATAGCTGGGCAGCTCTGGATCCTCACCCGTCTGAGCCCCCCGTCAGTGTTACCCTGAGTAAAACTGAGTAAACTGTATAGAGTCCCCAGTCTCAAAGTACTTTCTCAGGGCGCCTGGGTGGCTCAGTCAGTTAAGTGTATACCTTCGGCTCTAGTCATGATCCCAGGGTCCTGGGATCGAGTTCCGAGTCGGGTTCCCTGCTCCACGGGTAGTCTGCTTCTCCCTCTGCCCCTCCTCCTACTCGTTCTCCCAATC